AGATCAGTTGGACCGATTATGTGAGAAATGAAGAAGTGTTAATTAGAGTCAGTGAGCAGAGGAATATCCTACACGAAATAAGAAAACGGAAGGCTAATTGGATTGGTCATATTTTACGCAGAAACTGCCTTCTAAAAGAAGTTATCGAAGGAAAGCTAGAGGGGCAGATAGAAGTGACAAGAAGACGAGGAAGAAGATGTAAGAAGATGCTGGATGATCTTAGGGACAGAAGAGGATACTGTCATTTGAAGGAGAAAGCTCTAGATCGCATTAAGTGGAGGAATTGTTTTGGAAGAGAGTGTGGACCTGTCGTCTTGACAGATTACTGCTGCTGCTGCTGATGATGATGATGATATATTCCATCCTGTTTTTAATTTATGTTTAACACTTCTATGCTACAATCATATTTAAACCAACATTAATATTAAGCCATACAGCAGTTCAGATGGTAAATACCCTGCTTTGCACCACATAAGCTTCTCGTTCCCCAAGCACTTCATGAGAGTTACAGTACAGAAAGTGCTCATGGGACAGGTTTCTACTAATAATTATAATTTCACGTGTGTTCTATGGCAATGTATCATTATTAAGACTGGTACAAGAGACATAATTGAGACCATAATTCTAAGATACTCGAATCTGGCATACACATACTATAGTGATCCTTTACACATTTCCCTTGTATAATATACAGTTCAAAAGTCTAGAAGAAAATGTAGAAGTACTTAACACAGTATGAGTGTGCTCAAAGACTTCCTCAGCACACTGGGAAAATGTTCATAAAATCTTGCATTTCAGGTGATCATACTACTTCGATTTCTGTGCAAAGTGTCTGCGTCTGTGTCGGGAACACTCTCCACTTCTAAAGAATGATTTATTACATACGTCACATGTATATGGCTTTTCTCCAGTATGCATTCGGTAATGTTCCTTGAGATTTCCATTAGCAGAAAATTTCTTTAAACATACGTCACATTCATACGGTTTCTCTCCAGTGTGGCAGCGCATATGCCGCACAAGATCAGCAATGCGAGGGAACACTTTCAAACACGTTTCACATTTAATAGGGTTGTCACATGTGTGGATTCGTTTATGACAATTTAAGTCTCCTTTCCTTCTGAAATTCTTAAAACATACGTCACATTTGAATGGTTTCTCACCAGTGTGTATTCTATAATGTTGCTTTAGATAACCTCGGCCAGCGAATTGTTTATTACATATAACACATCCATATGGCTTTTCTCCAGAATGACTACGTTTGTGACCCATTAAATTTGAATGCTGGGAGAACACTTTACTGCAGAGGGTACACTTGTATGGTTTTTCCCCTGTATGAATACGATAGTGTTGCTTCAAGTTTCCTTTTTGTGCAAACTTCAGATCACACTTGTCACAACCGAAAGCCTTTTCTCCTGTATGGATGAACATATGTTGTTTCCTATTGTGATGGCTTGAAAAATGCTTATTACAAATTTCACATTTATAGATTCTACCTTTTCTGGTTTTACGAAAATTGCTTTTTTGTATTTCACTAGTTGTTAATTTAGAACTGTTCATGGAATTGCTATTCTCATTAGGAATATCAGTTTCCTTGCCAAGACAGTATTCAGGCTCTGAGGAAAGAGAATTCTCAGCAACAGGAACTTCTTGTTGACTCGTAAAACGTTTCACACTGTGAAAGGAAACCGTTAACAATATACAGAAGCTTTTTCTTATCCATTTCCCACTTCCTAACTCCATACAGTAACCAGAAACATTTCAATGTTTAATAGCATGCAGGTATCCTAGAGAAGCAAATGAAACCACTGTACAGCACTTAGATTCATGAGATTTCTTCCTATCTGATGGAATCTGGAAGAATTTCTTAAAATTTTTACAATTTCAATAAACATAACCATCATTTCCATTCCTAGCTTCAGAAATGTGCCATCATCAAGCTGGTAGGTCACTATAAACATTTCACTGGAATCGTCCATATCCATGTTCAGGACAGAAGAGTGTGGACATAACAGAGTAGCCTCCTCATACCCTAAAGATGAAGGCAGCAGATTCCTTTGACATGCTAACACTACACAACATTACATGAGAACATCACGTCTCAAATAATTAACTGAGTCCATAAAAAATCTCATTAGCAGTAATGACTACATTCATTAAAAGACTCCATCAAGAGTAAGATCATTTTCTCTTTATCCCTCCATGACAAAAATTAGAATTGTATACGTCCTTGCTTTATAAAATTTATAATCAGAAATTCCGAAGGGAATGTTATGTTTAAAAATTAGTAAAAAGGTTAGGCTATCCCTGTAACAGGCCATGAAGACCCATACGGTTGTGAGACATTGAGGCTTCCACATTTTCTCTAGACAATCGGCTCACAGATAGCAGTAATGTTGTCAGCCTTACGCGACGGCCACCCTTTACTCCCCAGGTAGATTCCTGGTTCTCATTTCTGTTAAGAGGCTGAGTCGACATCAGGGCCAGAATTTGGCTGGAAGGATTAGGTAAACTGAAAAAATCCACCTCATCGGGACTCAAACCCGTGACCTTCCAGCTTGTAGCACAGTGCCTCAACCCACTACGCTACCATGTGCCCCCTGTCTGAAATTGGTGAATAACCAAAGTTAGCATTATATAATGGACGTCATAAAACCACATACATGTACATGAATATTCCCCAAAGTTGTTAAAGGTTAATATAAATTCACATAACAAGAAATCTCAGAACATATACTGCCTTTAATTTTACACATCAAAGAAACTAGTAACAAATTTAAAAACTAATTTACAACTACAGTAAATCATAGTAATTTCCCGTACATGATCTGATCATAAAGTTTTGGAACTTTCGAAACAGTGAGCCAACTCAACGTTTCAGCAATGTTGGGTAAGTTGTGCTGCCTAGTGGCGTGCTTCCTAATTATCATCCTTTTATCTGAGTCATCCTGCTGGGATTAGTCATCACCCTACAGATATCTGATCTGGTGCATGTAGAGTGTGTCTTGCAATTGTCAAGACGGCTTATATTCATGAGCAGAGTATTAATGTTAAATCTTGCTTCAAACTAGAGAAAACGTTTTTGGAGACTCATGAAATGATGAAAAACGTTTACAGTGATCAGTGCATGAGCCATACATGTTGTTATGAATGGTTTAAGTGATTTAAGGATGGTTGGCAGTCAACACATGATGAGCCATGTTTGGGACAGCCCTTAATATCATGTGATGACGCTCATGTTGGGCAAGTTCGTGAAATCAGCCATTCCAATCGTTGTTTCACAATGAGGGAAATAGCAGAAGAATGTAACATATCGATAGAATCATCTCATGACATTCTAACGACAAAAATTAGAAATGCATCAGGTAGTTTCAAAATTTGTTCCCCAACTTCTGACACAGGATCAGAGAGACAGTCACGCTGCCATCTAACAGGAACTTCTGGATCATGCTATCAAGGATGAAAACTTTCTGAAAAGAATTATAACCAGCAATGAAACATGGTTTAAGGATACGATGTGGAAACAAAAATGCAGTTCTCACAATGCAGTGGGTACAATTTGCTGAGACCAAAAAAGGTGCAGCAGGTCAGGTCAAACATGAAAGTCATGCTGACGGACTTTTTTTTTCACATCGAGGGTGTTGCACATCATGAATTCTTACATCAGGTACAAACAGTAAATCACTGGTATTACCACAAAGTGCTGAAACATCTAAAAGAAAATGTCAGGATAAAAACAACTCCTGGTTCCTCCAGCATGACAATGCACCAGCTCACGCATCAATACTGATTCATGACATTTTGGCCAACACGAACACAACTGTGCTTCCTCAGCCACCCTGCTCACCTGACCCAACTCTGGCTGACTTTTCCTTATTTTCCAAACTGAAATCCACTTTGAAAGGAAAACAATTACAGATGATTCAAGAGATTATGGAAAATTCACAGATGGAGTTATGCGCGATCCTGAAAAGACATACCAGGACTGCTTCCAGAAGTGGCAATGGTGTTGGGAGCAGTCCATTAATGCAAGAGGGGAGTACTTTGAAGGCAATAAGGCTCACTCAGTTGCAGGCATGCCCTTAAAAAAATAGTTCTGTAACTTTTTGAACAGACCACATACACTGGATTCTTGATCATGTGAATAATGTAGTAACAGAAGACACAATTTCTTCACATAATTCATGACCGAAGTATCACATTCAAGAGCCACATGAAACTACTTGGTCTGGCAGAATTCTCAGAATATATAAATGATACAAAATATGAATCTTTTACATATAACCTAAAATCACACAGTCCACTGGAATCCTTCTCAAATAACAAAACATGATCAAACCAAATATACATACAATACAGGCCACAGTAGAATGGCTAATGTATCAGAATGCTGATCACTAACAGAGAACTCCAATATGCAAATATACATTCAACCTCAATGTATCTACTTGAATACAAACTGAGAAGTGAATAACATTATAACTAGGATTTGAAAGAAGAATGAAGATCCAGTAGCCAGACACGTCAGTAACAGGAAAAATGAAAAAGTATTCTTGTGCTTTCTGTGGCTCAACTTCACCCAGTGCATGACATTCAACTCTCCTTGATGCACTGTCTGTCCTAAGTACTTGGAAGTCATTCACAGAATAATGGAACAAAAGACTGAATTCAAAACAAGAGATTATATGTTGTGGTTTACAAAGTGGTGTTCCTGTTAACATCCTTGGGCATGGGTTGCCATTTCCTCCATGTCATGTGTGATCAAGTGAGATTTGCCAAAGCTCAAAAAGCTAATTCCTGAACTCCAGTGGGAAACTAGTAGCCAGCCCAAAATTTCTGGTCATCACTGGTGATGAAGCGATCATAGTTTCCTACCCTTGGCTGCACCTCCTTTATGATAACTTGAGAAATCATACAAAAATCAGCCATCAGGAATTACCAAAATAGACATCACTCACCTGCCCACACTCACTGCCGCTTCCGTTGCTGTTTCTTCTTCCACCTCCTTGTACTCTTCCTTGACTGTAACAAAATTCCATGGCTCCACCTCCTATAAAACAAACTTACTTACTACAAGGAACAAATCAAGCCAGCTTCAAATAAAACATCACCATGTACTTATCCATTCTGCAGAAATTATTAAAGGTTTCTTCCTGATCTGCTCTTGTTACAACTTCTTCGTTGGATGTGTCACAGGCCAGTGGATCAAAATGAAAATTACTTTCACATATCACAATCCCCACTGATTCTTTATCCAAGAGTAAACTAACTAATTGGCATTTATCCAATGGTCTGTCATCCGTTTAATTAACTTCTTGTAGCCAGTACCCAGTCATGGTCTTTGTATATTAAAATCAAAGTTCTAAAAATTCTGAATGCACCTAAAATATTCACTCACAATAATTGCACAGTATGAACTGTCATTCCTAGAACTTACATTTAGGTTAATTGACACTTTATATATTTGAATTTCCTTTTTCCAAACAGTATACAGTCATCCACTTGCAAGAAACCCTGAAATAATAATTATAAATAAAGTGATAACTTAAACATGAAAACAGAACTTGGCTGATGCAGAGATAATGGAGTTACAAAATATGCTGCAATTATTTCCATCTGACTACAGCCACTGGTCATCACATTCCATGTTCATGTACATTATTCTGCCAGATGACATTTGGAATCAGATTAAAGGAAACAGCACGAAGGCAGCCAGGCACCAGGTCAGTGTTGCAAACTACATGTCACCAAGTTTCATTTCATCAGTAAATTACTGCTTCACTTATAATTAATCTGTATGCACAAAACATTCCTTTACATTATTACTGAGGTCTGAAACAAAATTGTTAGCATGACTGGTGATACCTCCAATTCATCTAAGCTATGATATGATAACATTCCTTTCATTTCCATCATGGATATATATACATGGTAGAGTCATTAAGTTCGTGGATTGTGGTTTTATCGCATCATATTACAAGGTATTCACATAAACTTACGCAGATCCACATCGGCCCTCAAAATAGTTGCTGTTGGCCGCTATGCAAGTCTGCCAACGTTGATATAGCTGTCAAAAACACTGCTGAAACATATTGGCAGTAAATTCCTGTATGATGCTTTGCGGCCATTCTACCAACTTATTGACTCTGTGGTAGTATACGTATATAACTTTAGTGAAAGTTCTGAATTGTAATCATGTTGGGATTACAATGATTTGGCTTTCTGGGGAAAAACACTAGCATTACAAAATCACAGTTCAGTGGCAATGACAACAGCCAAACAGCATACAGACTTACCTTGCTTTCATTCTTCACTTCCATCAGCTGAGCTTCACTGAATGATGACATCAAGAAATGATCACTGTCCGAGTCTGATTCATCACTGTTTTCTTCAACGTTAAGCTGTAAAACAGACTGTCATTATAAGTTTCCTGGATTTCACAGGAATAATCATAAAGACTGTGGTCTTCTAGGCTGCGACTCTGTGTAGTCCTGTAGGCGGACACAACAGTTTCATACAAACAATTCCTCAGAATTCCACTTTATCATTCCTGGTTGTCCAGACATGGATCTTCCTCCCTCCAACCCCCACCAATAGTCCAGTGTAACAAAATATCCTACAATCCTGCCCATATGAACAGGACACATCTTCATCCTAATCACTAGTCGGGAGACTGAAAAATATGGTCATAAATCCTGTGCATCCTGAAACCAAGAATGACTGTGATGTCAAAAGTGAGAAGAAAGTTTCCAGACGAGAACGTAACCACATCAGACTTGAAGATGCAAGCAGCACGTTCCACTGGATGAGCTAATCTCAAACACCAAGACACTTCTTGGAGCTCTGTAAGACTAGCTGGGCAATGACTGAGTGCGGTCTTTCTAACAAATACATTAAGTAGGCAGTTCCTTCCATCTCTTGAACTGTGAATAAAAATATATCTGTGCTACATCTGAAATATACCACCAACAGAACTCTCTTGAATTAATTTAAACAATTTCATTTAAAAAAAGAAACTAACCTCTGCTTCACACTTCATTATTGGGATCGTCGTGGAAGTTCTGTCAACATTCTCCTCATCACTAATCAGCGATGTGGATTCAGCATCACTATGTGAATCCAACTCCGCTTTGATGTCACACATGGTGAGCTGTGAAACAACACACACAGAAACTTTCATCTCACAATTCACTCTGCAGCGAAAGGCTTCAAATACTTACACAAAAATTTTTATATGTTAAATTCCTGATAATTTAGTTTCAGTCTACCAATTATTTTTTGACTAAAAAAATAGTAACTGCTCTTGTTCAGTCTATATTAGAAAATGCAGCCATACACAGTGGTCACTAATTCAAATACTTCTCACCAGCTTTAGGTGCTGCTTGGCCAAACAAATACGACACTGATATTTTATCAAATTACAGGGAATAACTGTTACATTACTTTCAGCTTCAATGTCTTATGAGCTCACTCTCAAGTAAGTTTCAAAAACCCATCTACCTTGCATCTACCATCTCCCAACATGTTTTACAATGGGACTTGTGGTGCAATACGAGAATGTGTTATTTACACACAGACAGCTACAAGAATTTTATAAGACCTAGATGGGTTAAGTAATGAAAGGAATTCAAAAGACAAACTATTTTGTTCCACTGACTTAATGTTAAGGATGTTCAAAAGTTAATGCATTCACTTTTGCATCTACCTCCTGCAAGGCCTGATTATTTTAACATGCTGTAATACAGTTATACACACTTAAACCAAAAAATCAATTACATACTTCTTAGTTTCTACATATCTTGCCGTCTTACTACTACCATTTTTGCTAAAGGGTCATGACACTACTATCAACATCCCTACAATTTTCTAACAAGACGCCCTACAACTTCATTACCTACCCTCTTCACTTGACAATGACTTGAAATTCTGTCTACATCCTCTTCTTCTCCTCATTCAATAGCAATATCCAAACTAGTGGTCTTCAGCCAAAGTCCTGTTTGAAGAAAGCAGTCTTCTGGGATTTGGCACCGTGTATATGTGGTGTTAACCGACGTTTCGGAGGAACGTATCGCCCCCATCTTCAGGGTTGAAGAAAAAGTATAAGTAAATCTGCACGGTGTTGTCGCTTGCAGATTTACTTATACTTTTTCTTCAACCCTGAAGATGGGGGCGATACGTTCCTCCGAAACGTCGGTTAACACCACATATACACGGTGCCAAATCCCAGAAGACTGCTTTCTTCATAGTCACCGCCGTGAAAGCCTCAAATCTTACAAAGTCCTGTTTATTTGATTAATGAATTCGCCTGTCCTTCTGTATAGATGTGAAACTTGGTCTCTGACATTAATGGACGAATATAGACTGAGGGTGTTTGAGAACAGGGTGCTGAGGAGAATATTTGGACCGAAGAGAGATGAAGTGACAGGAGGTTGGAGAAAACTGCATAATGAGGAGCTTCACAACTTCTATTCTTCGCCAACTATAATTAGGATCACGTCAGGGAGAATGAAATGGGCGGGGCATGTAGCATGAATGGGGGGGAAGAGGAATGCATCTAGGATATTGGTGGGAAAGCCAAAAGGAAAGAGACCACTAGGAAGGCTAAGCCATAGGTAGATGGATAATATTAAAATGGATCTTAGAGAAAGAGGACAGGAAGGTATGGACTGCATTGATCTAAATCACAATAGAGACTAGTGAACGGCTTTTGTGAACATGGAAATGAACCTTCAGGGTACATAAAATGCTTTCAAGTTCTTGAGTAGCTGTACAATTGGCAGCATCTCAAGAATGGCTTAGCTCAATGAAGTTAATTAAATTACTGCTGTGTCCCTGATTTATAAGAGCTGGGATAGCGTAGTTGGCATAGCGACTGGCTATGGGCTGGATGACCAAGTGGCTGGAGTTCAAGTCCCAAATGGATCAAGAATTTTCTTCAAACCATCCAGAACGGCTCTGGGGTCCACCCAACCTCGTAGCCAACGGGTACCGGGGGCTCCTTCCCCGGGGGTAAAGCGATGGGGCATGAAACTGACCACACACCTACAACTAGTGCCAAGGTCAAGAAAATGTGGATTTAAACATCCACTCCCCCATATGCTTTCATGGGACACTGCTTAATTCAGCACAGGGACTTTATATTTTACCTTTACGCTGATCTACAATTGTTTGCCGGTTGCATTTTGCACCGTTAACAATGCACTCTACCAACTCAGTTGACATAAAACCAGGGCTTGAGGTGGGGCGGGATGGCATCCCGGTTCTTTTCTAAATGGCTTAAAAGCATCCCGTTCCTTCTTTGGCAATAAATACAATGTACAATACCTTTTTTGTTGTTGTTGTTGTTGTTGTTGTTATCTGTTTCATGGTTGTACAGGCTACTGTAATATGTTCGTAGGTCTTAGATGGAACACAGACTATATACATCACTCGGTATATTTTCATAATTTATGTCTATGAATTAAAAGGGGAAAACCATCCCGGTTCTATTTTCATTCCACCTCTTGACATGTACCATAATATCCAAACCCCAACAAAATCACCGCACACGATATAACAAAACAGACACTCACAAACCGGATATAATGCATGTTTCTATAAATAAAGGTAAATATAAGGCAAATGTTGTTTTAATATAATCTGAAAAAAAACTATACGTAATTAAATCCAACTCTATCATATATATATATGCACATTTGAAGGGCTGTTAAAATCAATGCAAATATGAAAGATAGTGTAACAGATGAGTCTGTTCTTACACAATAACCTGTTTTCATCATTAGGAAAACGTTGCAAAACCCTGTATGCATCTATGAGAGCTTATAATGTGCTTGCAAATAAATACTACATTAAACCTATACTCACTTGTACTACTAGACCTACGCCTTTTCTTGCGGCATAGTAATTTTCTACTGTATTAACACAATAACAGCATCCGCCTCCTGGATCGTTTGTCTCATATGCCAAGACGCCTAATTCTTCGCTCCAAACAACTAGCCTTTTTAAAAAGACTTGTACTCTTACTTCTTACATGAAGAAGTAAATTATGAAATCTGCATCACATTATTCTATCAAACCCTGGCCGATAAAACATAAATCTTCTCTTCCATAAATTTCGTCAGCTCCAACAAAGGAATGAATACTTTGAGGCATCTTTTCACCCACATGACGTGCAAATCACAATCATCTTATTTGTTTTACATTAAAATAAACTCGAAACAATGTACTACTACGAATATCTTGTGATCTTGCCAAAGCATTTGACTGTGCAAAGCACAACCTATTAACTATCGAAACTAAAATTTTATAGAATATGAGATATAGTATGCCAGTAGTTTAAATCTTACCTAAATAACACAGTGCAGAAGGTAGAAATTAAATCAGCCAATTCTAATTAAAATACTTGTTCACAATAAGGCATTATCATTTATAAAAGACGAGTCCATCCAATGTGACTATTTCAGTTTTCTCACTTGATGATTCACCTTTATCCTACGGGCATTTAAATTCCGATAAGGGCAGCGGTACGGAATTAATTTAAATACCCGCGATTAGAAATCCGTAAACTCTGTAGTCACTTACTAAATTTGCTCCTATTTCTGCAATTTCTGTGATAAACGAACGAAATAAACGCTGTTTTTTTCTCGAAAGAATATAGAATCAGATATTGTAATTTACAGATTGTATAAAACATGTTAAGATTTTTACACTGGCTCCAAATAAGAAATTCCCCAGTTTTGTTAATTTCTCTACAAGAATTCATAGGTTCTCGGAACGCTTGAATGCGGGCAGATGCATGACCACTTGTGCAAGTTGACAACACAGCGGAAGTTGTGTCTAAAGAGTTTATCATAGGCTAAATGACGCACTCCCCTTGGAATGAGGAGACTGGGCGACTGATATAAACTCAGTTTGTTACATCGCTCTCAGCTATACAATATGTTTACTGTTCTCACACAGTTCAAAGCTAGCTTTGTTTATGAAATTGCGTTGCCGTATCAACAGAGCGATAATAGAGCTTCGTTCCTGGAAGTTTTCAGTCGGAGGATTTCAAAGTTTGATCGCCGTGTCGTGTGGAATAGTCTAGCATATTTCAGCTCATCAACGACTCGGTACAGATTGCTGTACCGACAATTCTGAGAGTGATGTTGAAGGTAGCGAATCAGAAAGTTATTTCGAAGGAGACCCCATCATCTTCGTCGGCAACCTGGGGATCACCACACCAGCGTGGCACGAAGAGTGAATAATTATTCAGGTGGAGCTGTGGGCAAACTGTGGCAAACAGTTATAGCATCTGTTGTCGAACCTGGAAATGGACAAATAAGCTATTTTTCCATCTCCTTGATCTGAACAGTTACATCCTGTTGTCACACAGAGAATTTCGTCTCGCTCTTGTGCGGAACATGCTGGAAGGGGTCCACCTCGCCATCAACGGCCAGGGGTCGAACCCCTGCCGTTTTATGGGAGATATCTCGATTATAGAAGGCCAAACCACATCACTGGCCGACTTCCTCTACTTCGCAATTGAGGTGTCGTGTGTGCTTTTCGCGTGGGAAACGAAAGATCGTCCGGACAAAGTGCGTGAAGTGCGAAATCGGACTCTGCATTTCCGGATTTTTTTGAGAATTCCACACGAAGGCAACATTCCGGCAGATGACGCAGGTGGGAAGACAGACCCTCCATGCAGATGGTGGCCAAAAATTACATAAGTAGAACATCATTTTCTACGTTAAAATATTATTTTATATAACGTTCGCACGCGCGGACTGTGCGACCAGGAGTCGAACCCCTGCCGTTTAATCGGAGATATCTCGATTATAGAAGGCCAAACCACATCACTGGCCGACTTCCTCTACTTCGCAATTGAGGTGTCGTGTGTGCTTTTCGCGTGGGAAACGAAAGACCGTCCGGACAAAGTGCGTGAAGTGCGAAATCGGACTCTGCATTTCCGGATTTTTTTTAGAATTCCACACGAAGGCAACATTCCAGCAGATGATGCAGGTGGGAAGACAGTCACTCCATGCAGATGGTGGCCAAAAATTATATAAGTAGGACATTATTTTCTACCTTAAAAATGTATTTCAAATAACGTCCGCACGCGCGGACTGTGCGACCCAATATGGGGTCATTCGTACCGCTGACTAAACTTGTGCAACCCCATACGGGGTCTTTAGTCGTTTCTAGCCTTACATGTTTTGATCCATTTGGATTATCTTCAGAGGCACAAAACACTTTTTTGAAACCACTATCACAACAGGTGTCACAATGTTCCATCTATCACTCACAGTAGCCTTTCTGGTTATAGAAATATTTAAAGTTGTTTTAAAATTTTAAAACTTTGTTAAAAATTAAAATACATAAACCATACGGTTCATGTCAATAACCCCTGTCCTCTCTATTCAAGGTGGCCGATGTTGTGCCTCCTATGTAACTTGAGTAGGGGTTATTGACACGAACTGTATGGTTTATGTATTTTAATTTTTAACAAAGTTTTAAAACTTTAAAACAACTTTAAATATTTCTATAACCAGAGAGGCTACTGTGAGTGATTGAATTGAATTGAATTTATTTACATTCCGTAAATCCAGTACAGGTGAGACACCATAGGATATGGAACAAGTCAAGTTAGAATACATAGTAGCTATACAATAATACAGTAATATTGCAATTAAATGAGGTAAACTTATAATACTTATAATACACATTAAACAATGATCAAGAAATTTATCAAGATTTATAATGGACTAAAATAAAATAAAATTTCCATTAAGACATTCATTCATTACTCATTCCATTAATCAAGTGCGTCAAATTAAAATGCATATAAAAGAGACAATCAATAAAAAAGAGACAAATAAAACAGGATAATTACATAATTTGTAGTTTATGACATATTTCTATATCAGTTCATTTGTTGTCACAATCTATTGCGTACTTGGACTTTACATGTGTATTTGATATGACAACTGTTGTGATAGTGGTTTCAAAAAAGTGTTTGGTGCCTCTGAAGACGATCCAAATGGATCAAAACATGTAAGGCTAGTGAATCATGAAGTGAGAAAACTGAAATAGTCACATTGGATGGACTTGTCTTTTATAATTGTAACTGTTAGTGTGACGGACCAAAATGAAACAAATCAAATGAGGCATTATATCATGAAGTCCCACAAGATTTGGTACTTGGTCCCTTATGCCCTTATATATATATATGCGCCTGCAACTAGTCTCAGTCCAACCTGTTCTCTTTGCATTCTTGCACATCCAGAATTAGTCTATTTCAGAAGAGTATCATTAAAGATGTTTATGTCAACCTAAATATATGGTTTAAAGCTAACAAAATGGCACTAAATTCTGCTACAAAAAAAGACCTACATAATATTTCCTGCTATGGACAAAACATGAGTTTAAATATAGGTTGACACTACTTCAATTAAGGAAGTAGAAGCAGATACAGTCCTTGGCTTACAAATTTACAATAATTTAAACTGGTCAAAACACAATAAAATTTGCTACTATGGGCAAGATGTGCAAGTTTAAACATAGGTTGACAATAAATCAGTTAAAGTAGGTAAAAAATAAAATTCCTTGGCCTACAAATTTACAATAACTTAAATAGGATTAAATGCATTAAATATATAATTCCTAAGCTACGCTCTCCATGCTTGGCCATGAGGACAGTTGCATGACTCATGACAACAGGTACTTAAAGATTGGTTTACTTCACTTGCTTCCACTATATACTGTCACATTTGTCAATGTTCTTAGAAATTCAACAAACAGAAATAAAATATTTAACATCCAAAAGAAAATAATTAGGACAATGACAAGTAGTAAAACAGAGTTTACTGCAGGATATTATTTTAGAAATTTAAATATTTCCTCTTGCAAGTGAATACATATTCTACTTGATATCTCTCAGGCTGGAAATCTTGGAGAAACTTCAAAGAAATACATTATGATTGAAATTTGAACACAAGACATAAATATGAACTTCACATGCCAAATCCTCACTAAATATCAGGGTGAAGTATACTGTGGGAACATCCCAAATATTATCACAGCACCAGCACGCGCGCTAACCAATCAAATTGCATCCAACGTTCGCATTTATACAGCGCTTGCTGCTAGCCCGCATCCACATCATTATGCGCGCTAGCCAACCAGCGCTCAGCAAATTTTCGCTCTGCCATCACGCACTGTATAAAAGGCGGAGCACAAGCTCGCAAGTAATCAGTCAACGATTAGTCAACATCAGCCAGCACACTTCGTCCTCAGCACTCGGTCTTCGGAGTCTTCGGCTCTGCGCTGTGCCAGGAATGGCCGCCTCACCACTCCAACGGCATGCCCGACTCACTGGGCATCTGGTGTAGCTACTGCCTCTCCACTCCAGCGACCACACTCGATGACCAGACTTCCACCAGCAGCTGCCGCATGGCGATCAAGCAACCGCCACCATCTGCCGCCCTGCGATCAAGCAACCTCCAGCAACTGCCGCACTGCGATCAAGTGACATCCAGCAATGGCCGCACTGCAGCCAGTCAACTGACTAAGCTGCCTAAACACACCGCAGCCAACATCCCTTCCTACCGGCGCGCACCGTGCTACCTAACCGGTCAAGCATCTCAGGAACCAACGGTCCTTTTCAGGACCTACAAACTGTTCCGAAGAAGTGGGTTGTCATTGAAGTAACGACAAAAGCCCCACAATACCATATAGATATAAAGTTATTCAATAACCTTCCACCTACAATAAAAAGCTTAAATCATAATATAAGAGTAATCAAGCCTGCATTAAGAATTTTCCGCTGAACACATTCCTTCTACTCCATAGATGATTTTACCTTGATCAAAAAATTTAAGCATTATATATATATGTTTGTGAAATACATTCTATACTTGTAGCATGACATAATCTACATTCTTAGCTGTAGCCAAAAGAATAATCTAGGGAATCCAAATAAACTCAAGTCAAGTCAACAAAACTCAACTCTATCCTACTCTGCTCTTGAAATACATGATAATGTTGCATCACTATAAAAAAATACAGTCTATGTAAATCAGTAGTTGTTTAGTACTCTGTATGTGTGTTTGAAGAAGTGGTTTCTTATGAATAATATTCACATTAGAAAAAACCCTGACAAGAAACAACATGGTTCTACAATGACACACATCTCTAGTGGAGGTAACCTCGCTGTCCAATTCATGAAACCATGAACAGCATGCTGACAAAATCATTCATCCACTGTGGAAGAAAATATATTACTAAAATTTAAACCAGCTAGTTTTAAAAACATAAAAGAATAATTATAATTCCTTAGCCTTATTTTGTAAAATTATGAAGTTAAGTGCACTTATACCCATCAATTCAGTGCATCATCTTTCCCACTTTGTCCATTGGAAGACTGGTCATAAAACATTCACGAACAATAACCTCACATTCTCCAATTCTCTTCATTGGCAAATAGGTAAAGATAAAGCTGTCCATGCACTTAACTAATTAAGCACTATACCATGAAGGTGTATGGGGGAGTGGTTGTACAGATCCACATTTTCTTAACCTTGGCACTAGTTGGAGGTGAGTGGTAAGCTTCACGCACTGGCTGCTTTAACCTTTGGAAAGAGCCCCCATTACCCATTGGATAGGTTGGGTGGATCCCAGAGCCTGTCTGGATGACATGGAGAAGTGAAAATTCTTGCCCCACCAGGACTTCAACTGTGATTCGTCCGTCCTCCAGCCCGTAATCAGTCGCTATACCAATTGAGCTATTCCAGTTCCTCTTCATTGTCAAATATACAACAAAAATAAGTGTAAAAGGAACTGAATAACATAAGGTTTTAACACTAACCTTCTAAAGTCAAAAACAGAGTGCTGGGAAGAGACATAAAGAAGACAACAGTACATATGCGTTGTTTAAAAAAACTGGCCTGAAAAAGATAGTACACAGAAATTGGTACTAATTTGACAATATACATGTCACTCTTAAAGTCATTAACTGCATACCAACAAATATACATACTGCACACATCATTTGAAAAAAAAATGAAAGAGGTTATGAAGTGGGGACATACAGCTTTCCTTGTACATACTTATAATAACAACTTCATTTCCTTACTAAAAACATAAAACCAATTTAAAACTGGCATAAATACTCATGAAACATATTATTATACAACTGCATACTTATATTAATATACAATTCATGGACTCTGAAATAGCGTGTTGCTGCAGAATTGCTAAATCGCATGATAATTTATTTCTCTTATTATTATACCTACAGAATTAAATAACCGACTTGCTGCAGGTCCAGTACATGTTCCCAATCCTCATCTTTAACACACCTAACATTACCTTGCCATCCCCTTCTTTGTCCTTTGTTTTCTTTTTAAGAAGTTGCCCATGCCAAAAAACTATTTGAATTTGTCACTACCCTTCAGTCTGCTCAATAAATTCCAGTTTTAATACCCTAAAAATATTAATAAGCTTTCTAAATCAACAGTTCTTCATCACATAACATCCTCCACTCTCCATTTATTTAATCAACCTCTTAGATACAATCATCTCTAGAAAATGTCTCCTTACCACTTGCAATGTAAATTTCACACTCACTTTGAACAATTCCCATTTGTCTTGCGCACAATGAATACAGCAGTTTTGTCTACAGCCAATTTCAGTATTTTCCTTTGCTATGAAGTGGACAATGCCATATTTTGGTACTGTTGCTTAAGCAATTCACAACTAGAATCGTTATTTGTAACGTGGGATCTTCTGTGCTTTGCCAGAACTCCAAATCGTGAAAAAACTTTCAGGCAAATTTCACATTTGTAAGGCTTCTCTCCTGTGTGAGCACGGCTATGTATCACAACATTACAGCTATTTGAAAATTCTTTACCACATACTTCACACTTGAAAGGCTTCTCTCCTGTATGAATGCGAACGTGACAAGTAAGGGAACTTTTTTGAGAAAATGTTTTTGAACATATGTCACAAGCATAAGGCTTTTCACCAGTGTGCACTCGTCTGTGTCTTACCAGCACTCCATTTGTCGAAAACTGTTTGTTACATAGCTCACACCTGAACGGTCTCTCTCCCGCATGAATTAATAAGTGGGTCTTTAGGCTTCGTTTTTCTGTAAACTCTTTATTGCATACATCACAACTGAAGGTCTTTTCCCTAGTATGGGTATGTATATGTATCATCAAGTTACGACGGCGATGGAACTGTTTGTGGCACAAATGACATTTGTACAGTTTTATCTGTGTCACTGCACTATAGCCTCTTTCTTTACAGTTCTTCTCCTCTCTGGAATCTGCAATTAAACTCTCATTGTCTGTATGAACTCTTCTCCTGACACTACCTTCAAACTCTGTTGATAAAATCCTCTTTGCAACCGGCTCTTTCTGGTAACTGAAAACGTGAAAGAGAAAAAAGACTATAGTTCACTGTGTGCAATGATACGTGTCTGTCTGCACCTGAATGAAATCACCATAGCAAACGGTATCTGAACTGCTTCCTCCTCGACTCTATGATATGTAAGGGCATTTTGTTTGCATAAAACAAAACAAATAAATACAACTTTTTCCTATTCATTTTCAAAAAGACAGAATTAAATATACTGATAAAAAAAAACAGCTTCTCTTACTCCCAGCTGTAGCTTCAGTCCAGTGACTTTCAGAATTGAATAATCTGTCCGACGTGACATACAAAAAATATTACTGCTGTAGTATTAATTTAATAAACAACAATTCCTTCATATGTACCAAGTAAACTGGATTTACTTAATCTGGAAGTAGAGCACACCAGATCGTTCACCTCACAGACAAGTACAGACACATGTTAGAAATCTGAATAAACACTCTCCAATTTATATAATTTTAAAACATGCCTTACACTGTAAACATACCTGGGAGAGATGACAATTTTATACATACAATGATGTGTACATATGAACATCATTATGAGATCTGGGGGCTTTACAGCTGAGTGAGTGAGATCAGTTTTTTGGAATGTGACACCTTGTAGTGTGGCAGGTAGATTACTCTGAAATATTGGTACCTATGTAACAAACTACAGTCTCATATTCAAGATGACTGTAATCTTAACTAACACCGGTAACTGAAAGATGGCATCAGAAAATAGCACACTGTATTTATGTGCACTTTTAATCAATTTAAATAATTATTTCTTTTTAATTCGCTTAGTGGGGGGTGGGTCCAACTGGGTCCACTCGGCAGGATGGCCACTGACTGGCCTATTGTAGCCTGCCCCAGGTGATTATGATGATGGAAAATTTGGTGGAATGAAGACTGGCATGGGAAACCGAAGTACTTGGAGAAAACCCGCCCCAGCGCCACTTTGTCCACCACAAATCCCACTTGACCAGACCCAGGATCGAAACTGGGCCGCTGCAGTGGAAAGCCAGTGACTAACTGCTTGAGCTATAATGCAGCCTTATGTGCACTGTACTGACAGTGTAAGGATCATTTCAAGGTAAGGTGTGCAATTTTGATATATTAATCTGCTTAAAAACTTGTCATATGGGGATTTATGCTGCAAAAATTTGTATCTGCTGTATATGACTAATACAAATATAAATCACAAAACTTTTGTAAATTAGCATTTACCTATTAAAATGCAGTTTATGCTCCTCTGTAGCCAATTCCTCTAGCTTGACTGTGGCAACATTCCACGGTTCTTCCTGCCATGAATCAGACTTAATTAATATATCAATATCAATTAATATTGAAATGTACATTTTCAAACAATGCAAAAGAAACTGAAAATTAATCCTTTCACTGACAGCTTCCTAAATTACACATTACCTTTACAAAGCAGGTACATGTAGTAACACACAATGTTGGATGAGTCGAATACAGAAACCCACCTCAATGACTCCTGGAATTTATGAAATCCAAAATTCATCATGGTAATTTCAAATACTGAAAAATCTATTGACCATGAACATGAATGGTGCAATCACCTCTTTACTGTTTACTGAAACAAACGTGAACATTGCAGGCTGCTCCTCTTTTTTTGCATCTTCATTTGGTGATGATGCAGGCCATATTTCATCATCCGTGTCCGCTTCTCCTTTGATTATATGCAAGTCAATCTGTGAATCAGATAACAGTTTTCTTACATCATAATGCAAAGACTGTATGAGTTTTCTTACACTAAAGGTGAGGTACAAAATCATCACTTGATCAGCACCTGGCTAAAGATATCCTGTGAACACTGTGAATCTAGGTTATCTGCATTACCACACTTTTATAACTAAATACATAGTTCTAAAAATATGCATACACACACATGAAGCCATTCACACATCTTACAGTTATAACATGACTTACCTCTGCTTCACACTTCACTACTGGAATAACCACAGAAATCCTTTCATTTGCATCTTCACTGATTGGTGACTTTAACTCACTATCGTTGAGTGATTTGGATTCAATTTTAAATTCATCCATGATGAACTGTGTACCAATATGTCACCTAATACAACTCCTGTGTCACAGTATTTCCAAATTCAAGGTCCTTGTTCTATAAGAAATATCAAAGTTTAACGCATGCATCATCTTTTGTAATATTACCTACATTTTAAATATTTCACGAAGACATAACCAGAAGTGTAATCCTGGCATGTATAACATAGAACATACCGATCTTAATGCAACCTAACATCACCCGACCTAACCACAAAGGGGCACACACGAAGGGCTTATGAGCTATTCTGGAATGTAACTTCGTGGTAATGCATCACACACACAGATTTCTTGTGATTTCCAGTAACTTATCCAAAATTCCGCATTTCTCATTTCTGTTATAGGCGGTTCTTCGAGCCTGTCGTTGTGGTCAAGCATAACATGAGAAGTATACAGGAGGTGAGGCATAAATCTACTTACGTATTTTTAGTTTTTACTGTTTTTACTGAACGTCCAGGCACGTCATAAGTTTCTTGCTCCGGTCCCCTTCCACCAGTATTATCCGTACGGTAGGCTCGACAAATAAAAATTTACAAGACACTGCCTAAAAACGTCCTAGATATTAACAAAACCTTACCGTAATAAACTTGGAGATACACTCCTTACTTCCACCGCTCCTCCTCCTATGTTTTCACACCCAACCGTGCTAACTACCTAACTAAAGAACGATAGACCTAAGGTCGCGGTGCAAGGGCCGAGAAGGCCTACCCCTCATATATTCTATTCATTCTAACTACCTAAAAAAGGTCGCGGTGCAAGGACCGAGAAGGCCTACCCCTCATATATTCTATTCATTCTAACGATTCTAACTACCTAACTACCGCCTTGTTGATCAAACCCCACCTACGCGACGTACGCGACAATCCTCAGATCTTGGATTCGCGGTTCTCACACCGGTGATTATGAAGAGTATTTTATTGTGGGTCGTAATCCCGTGTAGGCTGGTGGCAGCACATTTCAGAGAATATATGGCCACCATATTTATGTCGAAAAGTACGCCAAGAAAGAACCTACTTATGCTGGTTTCTTGCATGGCGTATTTTTCAGCTGCCAAGGAGGAAATATATTCCTTCGAAACGTCGGACGGTTTCCAAACAACAGGGCATTACAAACCAAAAGACTGTACTCATAATCGCCCATAAACGTGTGAAAAATACACCTGGGGAAAACTGGGCCCCTAAAATAATAATTATAGTATAGAATTGACATTTGCAACAGTGTCAAATCAGTTTCATTCAAATCATGCATCTATCAAGCAACGAGCCATTCAGAATCACATAAAACAATTCTATAAATTATTTTTCAATACTTAGTTTTTGTATGCTAAAGCGGTGTCAACAATATACAGAATGTCTTGCATTAATTTATTCAATCCATGCTTGATGTTTGGGTCAGTACAAGATTTGGGTAAATTAATTTCATAAATAGCTTTAGCTTCCTGTCACTTGGAACCTTAATGTGTACTTTGGCCAACAGAATGTGACATGCTTGTTGTGTTTCTGTTAAGTGGTATGTCAGCTTCTGGGAACTGAATTCAAGGTATACTGAACCTGCAGTTTGCGTTGCATGCAGGTGTGGTAAAAACATCACTGGATTTATAAGTTTCTTGTATGATGCCCCCATTCAATGCTATATTTCATTTAAGTCAGACAAAATATTGGGAATGGACACATTGATCCACTGTTGACATGCAAGACATTGTCCTGAAGCTACTACATTAGTGCTAGTGCATAAATAAGGAAGAAATAGAAGATATAAATAGTAAAATTGAAGATAAAAAGAACTTAAAAAGACAATGAATCAAGAAAAGACTTGTGTAAGATTTGAGGCTTTCACGGCGGTGACTATGGAGAAAGCAGTCTTCTGGGATTTGGCACCGTGTGTATGTGGTGTTAACCGACGTTTCGGAGGAACGTATCGCCTCCATCTTCAGGGTAGAAGAAAAAATATAAGAAATCTGCAAGCATGGAGGCGATACGTTCCTCCGAAACGTCGGTTAACACCACATACACACGGTGCCAAATCCCAGAAGACTGCTTTCTTCAAGAAAAGACTTGTTTACTATCTAACAAAACTAGACATGAACCTTTAAAAAGAAACAAGGACTTTTTATGGTAAATGGAGGAATGCAGTCAGTAATACTGAAAGATAATGGATAAAACAAAAAAAATGGAAATGACTGAAGAGGTTACAATTAACACATAAATTAACTATCAACACATACCACACAAATTTCTTCATAGAAATTCCATTCCTAGCCTAGAAAACACACTGCGTCTCCACTGCTGGGACAAACCAGTTAATGCTCTTTGGGGAAATCATCACTGTTTATTCTGAGAATCATACAGAACACAGAAGTATACTGTGGAAAATTATTCCCTGTTCTTAATGTTAAGGCAGTTGGTATACATAATTACCCCTGTGTTTTAAATATTTCATCAGTTTTACTCTTTAAACAACACCTTATAAAATACTGATATGAAGATTGGAGAAAGGTACTGGTACTTAATCTGTACCAGAAAATAAAAGTAAACTTTAAACTGTCAGTATTTATTGTTATCTCTTCACAACAACAGTCAATCTGGTTAGACTAAAATCACGGTAACTCCACCTATGTATGCTGTTCTAAGGGTCTTCGATCCAACACACTTCTCAGCAAATATTAGTCTTCAAAAGGCGTGTAGAACACTTTTATCTATTTTGTAGTCCTCAGGAAATAATGAGTATGAAGTTCTGAAACAATTTCACATCACTGAACCCATATTAAAACCAACTCTTACAGCACGTCGCATATGCAACCTGAAAAACTTTTAACTAAAACCAGACATAGTCAAACATCACTTGTTATTTTAAAAAAATATCAGTAGCCATATATGTATATATTTCTTCTCTAGGTGCTGGCCCCCATTTTTGGTAAAAGTAAATAACTGAAGAATATATTAAAATATCAATATTGAAATTAAAATTATTCTTTAGAAAAATGTATTATTCTATCATAAATGCTCTAGGACAACCAGTAAAAGTAGTCTTCAATGGCTTAAAAATTAGTTTATAAGAATCGTGGTAGCTTCCAAGTTGCTAGTGCCTTCAGATATAGTCATTATTGACCTCTGGTCTCTGCACCTCTAAGCAAGGGCACAGCATCCATTTCTTTTGGGAGGTACCCAGGTGGGGGGGCCTCTGCTACCCTGAATGATAGGGTGATCATGAGAGTGATAGGTCATAGAAGAGACTTGCAACTTAACATGGACTCCAAATCATATGGAAGTGGGGGGGGGGGTCTAGTATGCTTCACATTCCAAAAGTTTGCCTTTGGTAGACGTACATATTTCAGTCTCTGAGCAGCAAGAATGCACACACACATCTGACTAGGGATCAGACCCAAAACCTTCCGAATGAGAATGCAGAATCATATTCAAAGTTCACAGGACAAAGTTCCTCAGACAATGGAAGATGATCCTGACTGACAGTAATATTCATACTCACAGCCATAAGGCTTTCAAACATCACATGGAAAACCTTGGTCGGTGGACAGCCTGGTGTGGCAGTAACAGTGTCGACATTTGTTTGGGAGATGTACAGTTTGAATCTTGGCTGGGACTCTGGTTATGCTGACTGATGCCTTCGGTGAATTTCCTCAGACCCCCACAGATATAGTACCTCACTTAGACCATGACCATTTCCTTTCAAATCCTTTCCAAGTTTTCAATCACCCCATTTTTTGTTTAATTTTGTGAGGTGAAATGAGGCTGAGTCCACTTGTTATGTTGGCCAGTAATTGGACTACCTGTACCTGCACCACATGACGGATGAGTGTGGAGCATTTTGTGGAATGAGAATTTGTGGAAGAGACCTGTCCCAGTGCCACTTTGTCCACCACAAATCCCACATGATCTGACTTGGGCTCAAGCCCAGCCTGCCACAGTGGGAAACCAGCAGCTAACCACCTCAGCCACACCACAGACGCCATACCATTTGACTCTATATAGTCCAAGATGCTAACAGCATCATAAAATAACCCAAACAAAAGAGCCTGTCAGAACGGCCAATCTCCAGTTCACAGTCAAACCCAAGACCCTGTCTATATAAACCAGGAATGCTAACTACTGGACCACAAAGGCTGGTAACTGTCAAGATGAAAATGAAGTACAATATAAACACACGGCTGCTGATGGTTCTTTAAATAACAAAATTTACAGACACGCAGAACCAAACTACCCAGACTTGTTTGCCGCAATGGATCCAGCGTGTGTCAACATTTCGATGTAACATGCCTGTGGGTCTTCGAAGTTCATGCCTTTGAAAGTTATGACAAAAGTTTCCAAATTCATGGTCTATAACAAATACAGTAAGCCCAAAGAGAAGCCAGTCATCAAATATTTAAAATCATCAGTTAATACTTTAATATTATGCTGCCATCTAATTCTAAGTTAAGTTTCTCAATTTTTGAGGTATACCACATCAAAATTCTGTGCATTTCTCAACTTCCTCCCATCCAAGTTTTACCTGGAGCCCACTGCAACCTCCTTGGTATGAGTGAGGTCTGCATGCAGATCAAAGTTCCTTTGGAAGAATCTTTCTCCATTTTGTACCTTGTTAATTAAGACAGTTGGAGACAGCAGGTTCTCAAATAGTTGGGTTCCTGTATTAACACAGAAATTGTACAGTCGCCAGGTCTCATGTGGTGCTAGCACAGAAACTGTAAACAGTGGCCAGGTCTCACGTGCTGCTGGCACAGAAACTGTTAACAGTGGCCAGGTCTCATGTGGTGCTAGCACAGAAACTATAAACACTGGCCAGGTCTCACCCGGTACTGGCACAGATATTGTAAAGAGTGATCAGATCTCAAATAGTAGTCAGGTCTTAGGACAGAAGCTGTAAATAATTTCCAGGTCTCAGGCTAGTAGCCAGGTACTAGGATGAAAACTGTAAATGGTGATCAGGTCTCATACAGTAGTCAGGTACCCAGACAGAAAATTGTAAAAGGCTTCTGGGTCATAACTGGAAGCGCAATAAATACTGGCCCTGTTACTTAAGGTTCACTGAATTCAACAAAGGCTCAAAACCTCACAGGCAGTTTGGACACACTAGTGCTGGGAGTTAATATGGAACTGCAAGCCTACCTGCCAGGTGCAGTCTCTTAAGAAGTGACTAGAAAACCAAATCTGGCAGGCTTCCAGCTCCCTTCTGTTAGAAGAGGTGTTTAATCTGTTATGTTTGTGATGTATATAAAATAGATATAAAAATGTTAGATGTTTATGTAAGTTTGGTGTAAAAGAATTTGTTAACATTGTTTTATGGCATCGTCATATACTGCTTATATCCTAATGATTATGTACACTCATTCTGACTGATGCTGACGCGCGAAACGTTTGTACCTTTTTTGTTCTGCACAAGAATCTCTTTGCAAGAAATATGACTTAAACCCAGTGACACAGAGAAACAATATGACCAAGACTCCTTGACTAGAGTGGTTAGTCTTACATCCTGTTGTGGTGCACATCTAAATTGCAACGGCCCGTTCTGTTATCAGCATGATGTCACTTGACGGTTTTCTTCGTTTTTGTTGCGTCTGATCCAATGCTGTCCTTAGCAGCACTGGCAGCAGTTGGCCTCATAAAACCAAGTCCACCTCTCTGCTGAACTGGCTGCCTGGCCACCGGTCCCACGCTGCTGCTGCCACTGCTGGAGCTACGGCTGGCTGGGACAGATCCAGCCCGTCCAGTTGTACTGGTGGCATTCTCCTTAAAGCTAGTGCTAACACCGGAAGTGACACGAGGACGACGTACACTGGGCCCAATGCTACTGCCACTGCTAGAGCTGCGGCTGGCTGGGACTGACCGCTGGGAGGAAGTCTTCAGCTGGACTGGACCCAGCGGTTTCTTATTAGGGGAGGAAGCCTGGTGGTGCGTTGGATCTTTCGATAGGTTGGACGTCAGGGTCTTGATGGCCGTTGTGTAGCCAGAGAGCCGGGTCCCCTGCACACTAGAGCGGCTGGAGGACTTGGACAGTGGCGGAGTACAAGATGTGGCATTCTTGACTGTGTTCACAGAGGCAGCACTATTGAGGGAGCTGCGGGAACTGCGCAGACTGGTACGCGAGTTGGAGCGCTCTCGTCGAGACAGGCTGGCCTGTGAGTCTGTCTTACGGAGACTGGCTGTGCGTCGGGGGATTACACTGGCTCGGCCTTCTCCCCTCACTGAGCTGCTCCGTGCCAGAGCATTGCGAGGCTCAAGCTTGGCTCTGTTTGCAACAGCAGCTGTTGGTTTCGTGATGGCAACAGGAGGGGAAGACACTGGTACAGTGTTGCTGCTGCTGCTCCCACTGCTGTCTGTACGGATGACACGTCCCGACCGACGTTTGCTCTTGCTTGGTGAGTCAACTACATCAGATGAGGTGCCCTGGCTTGGAGTCTCTGATACTAGGCTCTGTGTCTCCTCAAATCCCTCGTCATTGAGGTCATGTTCACTACGTCCTTTGACATGGCTTGGTGTGGTGGCATGCACCTTGATTTCTGGAATAAACTCACTCTTCAGCCTCCCTGCACCTGACTTCTGTTCAGGGACAGTTGGAGAGGCCCTGCTGCACCTTAGTGCCTCTTCAACCTGTCGAGGGTCAATCATACTCCTGACACGGTCCCTCTGGCCTGTCCTGGCTGGCCGCAACTGCTCAAGCTGCTGTAACTCACGGCCAGCTGTTGCGATGTCGGCCAGTGCTGCGTCCTCCTCCCGCACCCCACCACGGTACTTGAGACGCTCTTGCCACTTTCTCAGCCTTGTCTGGGTATCCTCAGCCTGCTCTGGGGACTTCTCAGGCACAGGCACAGATGCCACCTGCAGCATAGTGGGTCGGATCACCTGCTTCTCAGACACGAGTTCTGGGGACACAACCTCCGTTCTCCTTGCAGGTGGTGGCTCCTCGTCACGGTCTGAACTGTAGTCTGACGTCTTCTTGTAGCGCCGTGTGCGTCGTGCTGCTGCAAACCGATCAAACTGACCATCTCCCAGCGATTCTTCCTCTAGTTCAACAGGCCTACGCCGTGTGGCAGGTGGTGTCTCAACATTATCGGCATCGATGTCACCCTGATCATCACGTGGTGGGCGACGGAGCCGCCGGGGCACAGTGGGTGGTTCCTCGCCCACAATTGAGCGTAGCAAGTCACCCGGCACATGGCGATACTTGTGCAGAAGTTGGGAGCGTGCGGGGTCCAGGTACAGTGTCAGTCGGTCCTGCTCCTGTGACGTGTCTCCCAGCGACCCAATCATGCCCTTCCTCTTGTCCTCCTCCTTGATTGACTGCAAAATGTGTAGCAGAGTAATTATGTGACTCATAACTTAAGGAAGTAAAATAACATACAAGAAGACAGTATTTTTAAAGAATGATTTTGAAAGGATGCCAAAGGAAGAGATCAGGTCCTATTTTAAGGTATCATCCCAGAATTCACTTAGAGTCACTGAAGAAAGCCTCACAATAACTGATTCAAGGTTTGCAGCAAGCCACTGAACACTGAACTAACTGCCTCCCACTGTTGCATCAATCTATCTCAGTAAACACTGTCTGACATGACCCACAAATTTATGTACCTCAAACCAGTGACAACTTTCAGGTGTGCAGCCAAGTACTTTCAAGAAAGATGAGTCTGAGAAGAGAAGCTGAACTGAGAAACAATGGTCATAAACTGAGCAGCTTAGCTCAGGTGTAAGCTTGACTTGTAATTAAGACATGGTCCATTTCAATCTAAGTCAGGACACATACTAACCAGACCAAGGCCTTTCACGCTTTTTGTCAGTTGCTCCAAAAAACTTCTGGGGTAGAACCTAAAATTAGGCCACAACTGCTCCCATTTTCTTCCCAGTTCTCCGTCCACTGTCACCCAGATGTCTGACGATACACATTCTCAAACATTGCAGTGGCATTAGGTAAACATGTGTAAGCAAAAACAATAATCCTATGTATCTGTGATTACTCATGGTCTCAATACCCTCTATTATTATCAAGCATTGTGGTCTAGTGGTCAACAGTCTTTCCCAAAGTTCACATTTCCACAACCTGATTCCCCAAAATCCATTTTAATATTATCCTCCAATCTACTCCTATTTGCAGTAAGTAATCTGCTCAACCGAAGTTTTTCATACAAATGTCTCATGAACCTCAGGCCAAGACTACAAGCTGTTACACACATTTCACAATAATTACATCAGGAATAAGAACATCCCACTGCATGTGAGTACCTGTAGAGGATTGGAGGATGTGGAGCTAGCATCCATGCTGCCTCGAGATCGTATCCGACGTACACGTCGAAAGTCCAATTCTGTCTCTTCGGCACTGTTTGGGACGTTGAGGTTTGACTTCCGCCATGGGGACTTGTCTTTCACTGGTGTCTGAGGCTGTGCTTCTGGAATGAGGCAGAACTTTCATCCCAGACAGGAATACAGACTTGATCCAAGTACAAAGTAATCCTCTGCATCTGGGAGACTGGTTCTCTCAAAGAATGGTTTACGCCAAAGTATACCATTGGACACAATTCTGTCAGTAGTTAATATGTGTAATAGAAAATTCCTTGGACTAACACTGGACAACACATTTTCTTGGAAGACCCATATAGATATAATTGCGCCCAGAATAAGTTCAGCTTGTTTCGTGATTAGAACAATTAAGCCATTCATGTACCAGGAATCATTGAAGATGGCATATTTTTCCTACTTTCACTCTATCATGACTTACAGAATAATATTTTGGGGAAATTCTTATTATAGAATTATAATTTTTAGACCACAAAAAAGAATTATTATAATTATTGTGGGAATAAGAGATTCACGCAGAGAATTAAAAATATTACCACTACAATCTCGGTATATATATTCACTTTCACTGTTTTTGAACAATAATAAACATCAATTTAAAGGAAATTTTGAGATACATAATATTAATACAAGGACTAAATCTGATTTGCATCACCCACCATTCCATTTGTCAGTTTATCAGAAGGGAATATATTATGTCAAAATTAAGGTGTTTAACAATTTACCTGTTCCAATAAAGTATTTGTCCCTTAATATAAAACAATTTAAAAAAAAAATGTTTTTTGTATTTCCATTCATTTGATATAATTAGACGAATATTTTAAATACAACAAGAATTAAACTTTTACGATGCTGTTTATATTGCACATCATATAAATTAATTAATTATAATCTGATATTTTTTATATATTTTAAGCTATGTTTCAATAAGGCATTACTGTCAAGTTAATGAGTCCTGTATGCTTGTTAAATTACTGAATTATGTATAATTATTGTTTCCTTTATTAATGTAGCTGTAAGGAGATGAGTTCTGTGCTTAGAACTAATGTATGCATGTGTGACATGATAAGCCAGTGGAGATCTGTGGAACTAAAATGAAGATACAGATACCACAAAGCATTTCCCTGTGATCCACTTTACTGATTAACTAACTCTCTGGCAGCAGAACCTCAAGGTTCAATGCTACTAATACCAAAGCCTGCCACTGGAAACAGCCCCAGTCCAGAAGCAACCACCTTCCATCCTCATTTGTGAGAAAGCACACAACTGTAACACGACAAAATACCCACCTTCAATCGCCTCCATAGCACCAACAACATCCGTCTTTTCAATGGTGGGCCGCCAGTCAGAGTAGACGCGCTTGTACTGGGTGCTGGTGGACTTCTCCTCAGGCAAAGTGTCCAGTGTACTTCCCCTCCCCTCACTCTCTGTAAGATGGCAAGATATATCTCCATCATCATCATCATCAACATCAACATTTCTGGCTCCTGTGTACCTGACTAACGTTGGTCAAGCAATTCAATTCCAATGTACTCATCAAGCAGGTGTGGTCTTTTAGTGAAAGAAAGAACCCAAACATTCATAACAGCTTTCACAAGAGCCCACAACTGGTCTCCACCCTACGGGATATGAATCCAGTGCTCACCTTCCCACTCTGCTTCACTGCAATCGATTTAAAAATTATTCTCACATCTACACCTGGTCTCTTCTCTTCAAACTTTCCTTCCAGAACTTTGTTTGCATTCCTGTTTCTCTTATGTGTACTACCTGCGCATTCAGCTCATCATTTTTAATTCATTATCCTAATAATATTTTTTGTGGAATCTATATTCTGAAGCTCCTCATAATGCAGTCTCCTTCTGCTTCCTGTTGCATTTCTCTCTTACAAGCAAATATTATCCTCAGAACCCTGTTTTCTATGTGCTACCCTTAACATGAGACTGATTTGACACCATGCAAAACAATGGGAGGATTAGTTCTGTACATTTGAAGCCTCACATACAGGCAGCAGACAAGAGATTCTGAACTAAATGGCAGCAAGCATTCCTCATGTTTAATCTGTCTTCAGTTCTTCACAATTTCTATCTGCTACTGTCATTCCCAAATATCAGACAATACTGTACACCTTGCGGAGCCTATGTAAACTTGAACAGAAGTGGTAGAAGAGTAAGAAGTTGTCGTACTCCAAGAGTCAATTATAGTCTCTGCTGGAGACCACATGAGCCAGTATGCACTTCCTTTCTGTAACAAGTCAGAGACAATGCCCTAAACCTAAAGACTGAGAATGTGATAATGTGCTGCCTTAGCAGTGATACTGCAAACCTCTGGAGGCTGTGATAAATGAGTCTGGAGCAACGGCAGTGATGATTAGCATGGTAAAACTGAATATACTTAAAGAAAAAAGTGCTACTTTATCCACCAGGAACCTCACATGAAGTCATCTGGGACCGAACCCAAAGTTCCACAGTGAGAAGCCAATGTTTAACTTCCTCAGCTATGTCATTTTGACAGAAGTGCACCTGAATAAAATTATAATTAAAAGGTCTGTTACCTCACTCAGAGTAAAATTAAAGAAAACATGTTTTCAATTGTGTTCCTAGTTAAGAACCGAATCTCTTAACCTGAATTTTACTGAGACACAAATATCCTTGGAAGTTGACATGCTGATACGCATACACGAAAGCCTACTGAACACTGGCGACATTACAACCAGATGTCTTCATACCTAAGACCCGTATATGTACCTGAATCTGCTTCGAGTGAACGCCGGTTACTCTGGACTCTCCGTGACCGACGTCTCAGCTCTTCGCTCTGCTTCTCCTCTTTCTCGTTCTCCTGCAGCCAAGCCTCAATCTTCTGTCTCCATGCCCTGAAAAGCAGAGATGTGAAAAGCATGACTGAAATATCTCTGCAGAGCAATTCTCCCCTTGGCCACATTCACACACTAGAAACATAAAAACACGCATCTCTTTACATGTGAAACAAATACTGTAATGGAGATCATTCTCAACTTAAATTGAATGCAAACCACCTTACTTTTGAGTGGCTCACTGAATCAGAACACCTGCACTCTACATTCTTCCACGGCAAAGCAAAGAATTATTTCTGTGAATTTGGTGTGGTATTTGTCTTTCAAGTGAAGGTTTCCAGCCATGTAGCACAGACCCATAGCCCCAGCACCATCATAACAAATTCATTCACAGAAGCTACAATGATGATCTGTATCATGACTGGGACAAAATTAGAAAAAAAAAAACACCTATTGGTCATGAGAACAGCTGAATCGGTTACGCCATATTGCTGTCAGTATGACAGTCTATGTAGCATGCTGAGTATGAGTATCACTGCTTTACAGCACCAGACTTCATAACATCAGAAAACTTGCTGACAAATCTGTCACACTATAGATGCTGTACGTGCAGGAAATATAACCCCGATAACCTCAATTGAAATGTGAATCACAGCTGCAAATGGTTTAGTCTGATTAAAGTTTCAAACCTGTCCCTCAATGGTAAATGACAGGACGGTGTATAAAAGTTAACTACTGTGCAGAAAGTGAGCACACAGATTGTAATGCTAGCATCTAGAACGTAGGGCATCAGTACTCGAACAAGAGGGGTACTGAAAGGATTTGGAAGGATGTGGACATGGCTGAACTGATATTCTACTCTGGAATTTGCCTGGGGGGAGTAAGGAAAATCACAAAAACAAAAATTGGTCAAGGCAGCCAGTGTGCCAGCCAAGACTCAAACTGAACACCTCCAAACCACTACACCACTACACTTGGCAGGTCCAGTTCTGAAAATAATACTTAAGCCTGCACAACTAACTGAATTCGAGACTTGCCCTGCTTATAACACTTTGGCATGGACCACACCAAAAACACATCTCCCAACAGCTGTTCTACTGTTGCGTCATGCAGACTGCGTAGAGAACACCACTTCTGAGTTAGTCCATTGGTGAGTGTTAGGACTCTGCCACCCAGCAATGGGCAATGGGTCTACAAGTTATGGCACTGTCAGTACCTCTGTCGCATCAAATGTTAGGATGTTGAGGGAAGTGGTGGTGGCCTAATCTGAGGTGCTGTCCAAACAGTTTCCTGAAGGGGGATACCAGGAAAACCTTTTGTCAAGATAGCCGGTCTCCAGGCTGAGCCTTGAGCCCTTGACCTCCAGAACACAAAGCATGTGAAATGTATGATAACTCACTTTGGCTTGCTATCTCCCTGTGGTGTAGATGGCAGCAGTGGTTTTGTCTCCAGAAGGGGTGAAGGTGAACTGGGGCGCTCCCTCTCACCAGAGAAATCTGCACTGAGTAGATCTGGACGCTTCCGCCCCCCACTACGAGCCCGGCGGGCCCATGAGCGATCTGAAGAAGGAACAGTAATGACCACGTGAGCTGTACCACAGTGGGGCAGAATCATATGGAACTCTGTTGTCCTACTGGATGCGACAGTGTGCCATGTGGCAGATCATTGACAACATTTTGCAGAGACCTGTTCCCTCCATGCTGGGACTCATGGAGGTGACAGGGTTCGCTAGTACCTCCCTACCAGACTACACGGCGTCACAAACAAGAAGACAGCAAGCAGTGGGTCACCACTATCAGAGTCTTTGACCTTGCACAGCAACAAGAAGGGCCATGAGAAAGAATAATGCTTCACATTCTGGCCTTCTAGATGGTGACTCCATACAGTCTGGTAGGCAGAGATCAACTTCCCAGAGACCATAATCCGAATAATCATGCCAGCAAAAAATCTGAAAAATTATAAGAACATAAATCTTACCGAGACTGCCCCAGGATTTGCGTTCACGGCTTCCATCATGACCAGACGACCGCAAGAAGTCCATTAAGTTCGAGTCATCCTCCTCAGATGGGACTCTGCTACGCCGACGCCTCAGGCTTCCATTTGGTGTGACATCTGAAAAAAAGCATCACCTGTTCACTCTTGCAATGCATGACTCCACTGCCATTAGGATTATGGAAACAAGTTCATTGCTGTTACTTAAATATATCAGATGCACTGGACATGTAGGACTGGAAACAATAAACACCTACATAAATTTGGTGACAAAATTTCCTGGAAAACTGAGGAGATGAAATGATAATATTAAAATGAATGTTGGTGAAGTAGAACATGAATTGGGATAGGAGGATTTGTATGAGTGATGTCAGATCAAAAATGCTCCAACCTCAGATTTAGTTTGTTAGTTGTTTAACAATCAAGTATGAACTGCAACAGAAAGGGAGCTGGGACACCTCAGTCAGCAGTGACAGCTGACTGACTGGATGACTGAGGACTAATGAGCAGGAGCAAGAGAACTTTCTCCTCTCCACAGCATCCCAACTGGCTCAAGGGCACATCCAGCCTCAAAAATGGGTATCGGCAATTCTTTACCTAGGAGCAGAGCAGCTGGGCTGTGAAAATGAACACCTCCAGCTAGCACTGTACTTAAGAATGCATGGAGCTATACGTCCACTCTTTCATGTATCCATGGCATGATGTTCATTTAAACCCAGGGACAACTTTACATTACTTTATTGTAACACAGTGCTTAGACAACAAAGCTGAAGTAACTATGCAACTCAGCCCTCCTTCAGAAGCTAATAGTTGCGCAGCCATTCATGAAATTTCCAGCATCATTTTAATGTTATTCTCCCATGTACACCTGTGGCTTCCAATAAATTTCTTTCCTTCAGGTATTCCTACTGAAATTTCTGTGTGCATTTCTGATCTCCCTAATGTGTGCTGCATGCTCCACCCATCTAAATCTCCTCACGCTGATCATTCTAATGTTTGATAAAGAGTGCAAATTATGATGCTCCTCACTTCGCCTTCTCCCCTCAGCACCCTGTTCTCAAATACCCTCTGACCGTCCACTATATTCTGCCCTTGGGGTGAGAAAGTAACAAGAACCTGAAAAAATTCTGTTTTCTACAATTTACACAGTTCTGTTCCAATGTAACATATCTGGAGAGCAATACATAATGCACAAAAAGAATTGTACATTTATTGCATTTCTGGAGATTATCCATTGCTGTTTTTATTTAAACACACATCATTCCAGGGATTGGATTCTGTCTCCATCTTCAGGTGGAACATACTCAGTTGGGCCCAATTGACACAGTTAGTCCCTATACCAACTTGGCAAGTTCCACTGGAAGATGGAGACATAATCCAATTTCTGGAATGATGTGTGTTTAAACAAAAACAGCAATGACTGTCCAGAAACACAGTAATTGCATTAATATACCATGGCCACAAACTTTAAAAAAATTGATTAGAAACTCATATGGGAAGAGAATACTGTAGATGAGAGAATATTAAAATGGGGCTTGTGTTGCATGAAGATATATTCCAGTGGTGTGAGATGGGATGTCCTCACAGGAGCAACTGTGAAAAATACGTTCTGCTAGGATGTGACACTCTGCAGGCTGGTGGATACTGACCAACATTTGGAGAAAACTGCTTCCTCTATCTCAAGGGATTACCCTGAAGATGGAGGCACCACATTTCTCTGTAACGCTCGTAAAGTATCTAAACAAATTCAGGGTGTCCCATCCCAGCGGACAGTAGTCTTCAACCCAATGCTATGTTAATAGTGAGAGCTTTCTGTTTGGGTTGATGTGTAGCATACTGGAACAAAACACTGCACAGTTTACTGTTCTGGTCCTTCAAATCACAGTGGTAACTATATAACATGCCACCTGCTTTAAGATTAAAATAACTCTGCATTCTGTCTATACAACATGTTTATGTCTTTCTTATGGTTCTCACAATACTCAGAAAATATCTGCCTAAACAGCATTAACCCCTCAAGCGTGTGCGACGCACCATATGCGTCCGCTCAGTTACATGCATCTAGCGTGCATTTATGCGGGGGTATTTAAATCCCTCCCGGTGCTTTATTTTCGCAAGCATTGAAGGTTTTGTGCAGACATATACCTAAATATTTTTAAATAACGAAATCGCTATTTGAAAAATTCCAAAAAATTATATTATATTTACAATTGTTTACAGTTCATTATTATAAATGTCTATTTACATTTTGTCAAGCTATTTCTTTTTACCAGCTCTCCATATCCAGTGTGTAGTGGTTGACCTTGGTGTGGTATTGCTCAAAACAAGGGTCTAGGCAGACACACGGTGTCCCTGGGCAGTTTTTACACCTGTATCTGGTTTCTTTTCTCTTTCCGTTTTGTGTACACACCACACACCTTCTTCTTCCAACTTTATAAATTTCGGTTTTGGGATTTTCTTGAATGAAATGCTGACCCGTCAATCTCGTACATTCCATGTCGGTATCTGAAGGGATCCCTTTGCGCTTTTCTAAATTCTGTCCATGGGACTTTGCTATGATCTTATTCACTAAGTTTATTCTGAATAACAGATGATCTTTCTTGTTACCAGCCTTGCAGTACAGAATGTAATCATTCAACACTGTCGTATCTACTATGTGGTTGAATAATTTCTTGTACCACGCTTTTTGCCTTTTCCTTTCTAGCAAGAATGTTTCTAGTAGCTGATCTTTCAAGTTCTTCAGTTCCTCCCATATATTTATTATACTCTATTACACACATAGGTTTATTTACAAATTCTAACCCACCCTTTCGACTTACGGGTTGCATTTCGTCTGAATGTTTAGTAGTCAGCACTGAGACATCGCGCTTATCCTTCCACTTCAACGCCACCAATTTCCCACACTTTGCACTAACTACTCCTTTCTTCAGTTCCTTTTTTAGATCCATTGGCATAACTTTGCGCGTGATACTCACTGTTCCAACAGCATCTGTTGTCCTCTGAACTAATCTCTGGAAAAGATCGGGACTGCTATAAAAATTGTCCATATAAAACACATCTGCCCGAGTATAATAGTTCCTCGCACAAACTTAGAACAACTTTTGTTGAGAAAAGATCTGTGTCTTTGGTGATTTCACAGCCTAATTTTATCCCTGATCCACTGTAAATTATAAAATTCCACAAATATCCTGCGGAATCACAAAGTTCAAAAATTTTAATCCCAAACCGGGAAGCTTTCATAGGAATATACTGTTTCCACGAAAGTCTATCTTTCCACAATAACAAAGATTCATCGACACTTACTTCTTTGCCCCGTATGTACACTTTCTGGAACTTATTTTTCAAATATTCACTTACCGGAAGAATTTTGTACAATTTAGAATCCCTTTTTGCATTTTCCTTATTGGTGTTATCTACAAAATGGAGAAATCTGGTCAGCAATGAAAACCTTTCTTCACTCATTACATTGGGAAAAATGGTGTTTCTAACATATGTTTCCTACTAAAATACATCCTGAGGTTTGGTTTCTGAATTATTCCCATCAGCATAAGGAAATCTAGGAATATCCTAATTTCATTCGAAGTTATGGGAACCCACTTTTGAAAGCGCTATTTTATTAGCGTCAGGGGCAAGAAACTGTCCCGCCAGACAAGTTATGTGACCAAATGCAATGGGGCTCCGATAAGAGGGTGTCGCAAAGCAGAAAAGGAATAACAGATTCATAAATGTTGACACAGGCCTTCGACCCCTAGGTTCGTAACATCGTAAATCAGACACAGCTTCTTTGTTGCCAGTAAGCCAAGCCAGTAAAAAAAATACACACACAGATAACAAGCACTCAATGAAAGTTAGCTAACAAATTATCTCTATGTAAGCAAGTCAGAGTGTGAGTTGGAACAATTCTTTCATAAGCAGCAGACACCACAGCAGACACCGGATGCTTTGTCCCAAGCAAAGCGAGTAAAAAAAATACCACACACAAACAGATAGCGAGGAATGAAAGAAGTCAGTGTTAGCTGACATATACATTCACTGGAAGTACACACATCAGAGCGTAGGCATTAAGAATTCTTAGTGAAAAGTTTGGACGCAACATATGCGGCGCGCACGCTTACAGCACGGCTTTGAGTGGACACAGACGGAGCGTCACACACGCTTAGGGATTTAAATGGCTCCGCTAAAAGTCACGCTCAAGGGGTTAAGTGGTTGAGCTTTGCAAAGGAGATGTGGTGTGTTTCCTGTGAGACAGGAAATGAATGTCTACACGTTATTCAGGTGAACTTCAAACAGTTAATGTAAACATCCAAACCAAGATGGCAGCATGTCACATTTCCTTTAAAAGCATGTATCCAGGGTTGCTAAGGCACTGAACAAAATTAACTGTGTTCAGCACAGAGAAAGACAGAGAGCTGTATGGTCCACTATGGTGGCACATGACAATGCATGCTCACAAATACATGTACAGATACAATCTGACATAATCACGCATAATCCACAAGCAGGCAAGCTTAATATTGACCTGAACGGACTCGGCAGCCATGGCGCTGCAACTGTCGGCCCCTCTCATCTGCAAACAGCAACAGCATATATCTCATTCTACATGTCTACCTAATCATATCTCAGATTCTTCACAGTATGGGTCATACAGATGAGAACACTTCAGATGCGACAAGTGAACTCTTTCCCATTACAGTCTCAAGTTCACCTCATTTCCGCACTGCACATTTTTTGTTTAGCACTGACAAGCAGAGGCACCCCCATCTTCCCACTGCAACATGGCTGTTTTCCATGTCAGTATCACAGTACACAGTAGCAACACTCAACTTAAGAAACTGAAGTCTACTCATGTAACTAAATAGGAGAGACTGGGAATGTGCGTTCAAATTGCATCCAAAACTTTCCCACCATTCTTACACATCACTACAGCAGCCATGTCTACCATAAATATTGGCAAGAGCAGTCTGATTATGTGCTCTCTGTTAAGTCCATGGCAGGAAGAAGAAAAATTATGCTTTTATATATTTTGGGCAATTTCACACGTTTTCACTCTGCCTCCTCGTATTCCAACCATAATCTGCGCACTGGTAACAAACCTGGGGAATAGCCCTCATCACGTCCAGTGGTCATTGCCTGGTCTCCTGCAGGTCCTGAGAATGAGCCAATTCTGCGGCGAGCCACCAGTGGTGAGCCTGTGACAGATGACATGTCTTCCTCTGATGTCATGCCTCCATTCTGCAGCTTGCGAGTCTACCCACACAACAAACCTTATTATTACAAAATGCCCCTTGGAGGGCCCTATATCCTCTAGAGGGCACACTCTCCATGTTGCAAATGGGGGAGCTCACCAGATATGTTGGGGTGAATATGCTGAATATGGACCCACGGACCCTGATTACTGAAGACTCTAAAATATGGACATATCCTCTCTCCAGGAGAAATATGAAGGGGCCTTGACTGCGCAGACAAAGTCAGGCTACCAACCTACACTGGACAGACAAAGTCAGGCTACCAACCTACACAGCTCTAAAAATAAAAGTGCTGGGGTGGTCCAGCACACAATTCAAGGTTGGAACAAATGGATATGATGTCATTTTTGTTGTTACTTAATGGCAGCTTTACCCTTTTAAAGGCAGAGTTGAACAACAGCTTCAGAAACACATACATAAAGAGGCTGACACTTCCATCTCAAAGATTGGAACTGAAATAAGCTGTAATGTGGAGCCTGGCCTACACACCCTCAAATCCCAACAAAGAAACAGGACACATTCATAAGGATAACATTCTCTTTCATTTCTTTTTATGGGAGTGTCTGGCATCAGCAGGTGTCAAATGCTACACCTGGCTTTAACTTTCCTGGGGGCAAATGAGACAGGGAACTGAGGACCTACTGTACTCACCCTGAAGTCCCTGTTGTTGCTGTCAAGCCCCTTGCTTTGCTGGAATCCTGACCGGATGTCATACAGCAGTGAGTCTACAAGATTACACTCCGACTCCGAGGCAGGCTGCCCACTCACTGCAGGAAACGACAATCACACATTAACTCACTGACTCCATGGGGCAGAGTTCTCCATCAGGAGGCAATAGTTGCTCAGCTTGTCAAGAAATGATCTGCCCCTTATACAATCCAATGACCTGAGCAAGTTGGCGCAAACTTATGACCTGTATTCATGCAAGTGACCAGTTTGAATCTTGGCTGCATCACCAACTCTCCTCAATGAGGTTTGTCTTCAGTTCCTCCAGGCAAATGAAAGATTAGTCCCCCATGCCAGGCTACAACACATTCTTCCACATCTTCTCAAATTCATTCTTCAGTAACCATCCCACCATTCGGTGCTACACAGACTGAGCTGCTCAAGCTGCTCTACATAAACCATAAATAAATAAATCCAAAGATTCATTACCATGCTCGCACAAGCACTTCACTCAACCCTATCGTAAGCCAGATGAATCCAGTCATAAACTATACCTTTAGGATCCATTTTAATATTGTCCTCATATCCATGCCTTTCTCTACCAACTGCTCCATTCCCTTCAGCTTCATCAGCTAAGAATTTGGAACCCTTTCATGCTACTTCCATTTTCAAGCAGTGACAAGCCCTTCCAGTTACACCAGTCCCTATTATAAATATTAATATCTCACTCTGCTGTCGCCGGCGGGCAGCTAGCTGCTCCTCACGCTGCCTTCTCCGAGCATTGGCCTGCTCCTCCTGAACACGTCGACGTTCGTTCTCCATGACAGCTTGCCGGAACTTCACGCAGAAGCCATGGAATACCCGGAAGCACTCTTCAAGTTTGAATGTGGCGGTGTCCTCACAGAAGAATTCTGACAGTGTCTTGCGAACAGTTTCCAGCTCCTCCATGTCACGCTGCAATCCCGATACCTCCTGCTCTGCCATCTACAGCAGTAACATAGAACTGACACTTACAATGAAGTGAGCGGCCTCCGTAGTCTAGGGGTAACGTTCCCACCTCATGATTCAAGGTACGCAGGTTCAAAACCAGTGGAGGTCATGGAATTTTTAAGGGCGGAAAAATTCAGGGAACAAGTCCTCCAGGAGGGACTTTAAGCCGTGGGTCCCGTGTCATAGATTTATGGCACATAAAAGAACCTCATGTCTCTAGGAGGCCTCTGAGCAAAATTTGGCCAAATTTCCTGCCCAAAGTAGTTTCCAATACCTCTGGTAGATGGGGGAAGTATTGGTACCACTGCCAGAGGAGGGGGGACCTCTCTCACAGAAAGGGACTAACCATTAGATACCACTGCTAGTAGAACGTTGGAACCTCGCTGGCAGAAAGGGACTGATAGTAAGCACCAGTACCGGTAGGGGATGGAGACTGTAGAAATTAAAAAGGGGGATGTACAATAGACTATCAGTCGCGGTGCATGGGGAAACCCACCCCCTCAATACTGAATAACTGAATACAATGAAGTGCTGTCTGTCCTAGGGGAAACAAGAACTTCCCTGCTAGCATGGCACACAGAAGCTCACCAGTGTCACACCAGAAACCTCAGACTGGGAGCCATTTCTGTTCATTCATGCTTCAGACCCAAATACGCAAACATACATTTTAATATTATTCTCCCTTCACAAGGGGTTTCCCAACCAAAATACTACATGCACTTCTTGTGTCTCCCACACTCTGAGCAAGTTGGCCCAGCGGCACCACTCTGTACTTGTATTTGGGATCTCCTGAGCACCAATCTAAGCTAGGGCATGAGCTATTCTGGTTGAGGACTTCTGCAGTTTCCCTCAGTCCCTCCAAGCAAATTCCAAAACAGCAACTCAATTAGGCCATAACTGCATCCTTCCTAATCCTTTCCGATTCATCATGCCTTAACTGTCCTACCAATTGACAGCATCATAAATAACCCATGAAAAGATATATATATATACATATTGTCGCGTATTGGGTGTATATCGCGACAAATAACTTCTCGATGTATTTGATGTAGCGAATTTTATTTCACATTCGCACTTACAATCACCCAAATTACAGATTTACGGTTACTGCTATCTGCAGTATCACAATTAGTACACTCCAAATGCCAGAATACAACTGACTAGTTGCTGGCTAACTCGGCGGTAGCTCCAGGACTCACTGACTGACTCAGTACAACTGACTGTGAATAGCCTTCGCTATGTAGCCTCGATCGGACAATACGGCCACGTAATAGGCACCCTTGTTGCTAGCCACGCTGTCCGGAGTTGTTGACGGCTACCTAGTAACCGCGATATCCCTTGGTGACGTCACCGCGTTGACTTGCGTTGCCTAGCGACCAGGATGCTAGGACTCGGCTAACATCGGCTAGCTTCGGCTTCGCTCGGCGCATCACGGCTGGCGGAGGGTGAGGGGGGGAGGGGCGTCATTCAGAGCTCAACATGTCACACTGCTCCCTCCTTAAGGCTGTTCGTCTCAAATAGCCTAACGGTGCACCCCCGTTCTTTTTCCGTCCCGTAGCTGTGCTTGCGGTGTCTCCTGTTGTTTCGGCTACTCTTCTTGCAGCGACTATTCTTCGTCCGGTACATCCGCTCCCCTCTTAAGACAAAGCTCGTCTCGAGCGGTTTCCTTTCAGCTCGCCAGAAGATCACATTCATCCATCACTTCCATTCTATGGCACATTCACTCTCACTGGGGATGCCGGTTCTTCTATTTTACCGGCTCCTCTTCTGTGCCC